GGCTAAAAACACATCTCTTCCATCTTTATTTGACCCTCTAACTCTAGCACTTTCTATTCTATTTTAATTCTACTTTATATATATATTTATCTTCTTTTTTTAATTTATTTTTTATTAAAAAAAAACTACAAAAAAAAACAAACAAACACTAGCTTTCTATTTTTTCTATTCTATGTGTTTGTGTGTGTGTATGTGTATATATATGTATATATCTATATGCGTGTGTGCACATGCATGTACACATGCATGTATGTATGTATATGTATGTATGTATATGTATGTGTATATGTGTGTATGTGTATATATGTGTGTGTATATATATATATATATGTATATATGGTTCTTTTTCTATTCTATCTGTTTTCTTTCTTTTAATTATTATATTATTTAATAAACCCTTGCTACGTGCACTGACTTGTTATAGCACTTGTATATCATTGCTCTTTTGTTGATTTTGATTGCTTCCATCGTCCTCATTTGTAAGTCGCTTTGGATAAAAGCGTCAGCTAAATGACTAAATGTAAATATATATATAAAAGAGTTTATTTTCTTACACTCTTATCTATTTGCCTGTGTAAATTTCAATTACAATACATACCTTGGCTTTAAAGGCTGTTTTCTCAAAATGAGTTTCTTCTCATGTACTGAAATCTCCACTTCAGTAGCCTAGAACTTACGATACGTACACCAAGATTTCTAGTCTTTATTCTGAAAGGTTATACAGAAGGGTTTGTTCATAAAACATTTGCCTGATTTGTATAACATCTTGTATAAAATATGCAGATTTTTTTTCTGGCTGTTGGCAGTATTTTCAGATTTATGGAGTGGTAAAAGGAGATCCAAAATCCCCTACTTTTAACTCAGTGTCAACAAAATGCTTGGTTTATCCAATGTTCAGATTTCTGTTCTGGACATTTGTGCAATATTTACTCTGTAATGCAAAACAATTATCTTAATATACTTTGATTAATCACCTAATATAGTTAAATGTTTTACCCTATTTACCTGTAGTGTCTTGCCTTAATAAATTATTGATGAATTGATTAATCAAGGGAAATTATATATTGTGCAACATGTTTCCTCTAATTAGTAGGTTCCTAATATGTGGTTTTCAGGGTGTTAACACCCTGTGAATAAATAAATAAATACATTTCCTGCTGCTGGTCTACACACATTCACTTAATATTTTATGATGCAGCTAGCAAATGTAGCATTGGAAATCAATTCCTTTTCAGTTTCACATAATTAATCTAACCTGAATTTGCATTTCCAGTCTATCCTAACACTTGTTTATTCCAATGTGTCTCCCTATCTTATCCTATCCTACCCTGCCCTGGCCCGTCCTGTAACATTCCACCCCATCCCATCCCCGCCTGCTTTCTGGTTTCCAGGTGGGCTTTAAATTGCACACGTGGTGTTGCAGTTGGTTTACAGCTGCCTAGCTGCACCCGATTATAATGCTGCCAATGATGCTCACAGCTGATTGGCGGGCATATGTCACGTGACTCTTAAGTTTCGTGGTGACGTTCGCAGAGTTAGTTGTGACACGGGAGGCGTCCAGGAGCACAGGTAACAGTTACTGTCCGTTAACAGACGACACATTTCCTAAAACAAAACATTGTGTGAGTTTTCTGCGTGAAATTGGAGGAATGCAGGCGTCGGCAGACATTATAATCCACGCTCTAGAGGCAGCAGCGCTTGGCGACAGACATTAGTTAGCTTGTTAGCTGCGCTGAACTTGCATCAGGGCCCGTATTCGACTGAACTGATCCAGTTGATCATGTGAATCACGAGATTTGTGTGCTTCTTTAGATAATAATCTGCTTTGAGGGCTGTAAATTGCATTTATTGTAATGATACATCTCCATGTAACTTTAATGCGCGTTGTTTACGGATATGATGCAAACTACATTGACAAAAATAACATGACACTGTTGGGTTATGATCAGGCTGTGCTAAAGAACTGTCGTGATGTTACTCTGATCAGCATTAATGTGATCTGTCATGGGTTAGAAAGCTTTAATTCTTTTTAATCCTGGTCCTGGAGTGGCACTGCATTGCACATTTGCGATATTTCCTATATTTAACACCCATGATTCATTAGTAGAGGATTCAAGACCTGAACTGCATGTGTTTAACAAGGGATTGAACCAATACATAAAAGACTGCTGCATTTTCTGCATCAAAGATGGAGATTCTTGTTTAGAAGAATTGAATCCTCTTTGTTTTGGGCGTATGTGACATACAACACTGTGCAACATTTGCATGTGTGGATGAAGTGTTTGATTTGATGTTTCGGGTGTCACACAACAGTGTGTTTTCATTTACATTGTTCCGTTTAATCATTTAGCCGATGCTTTTATCCAAAGCGACAATTGAGGAACATCACAAGAAATTCATCATACTGGAGTCAATCAAATTCACAGTTCCACAAGGCTGAGTTGCAAGACTAAGTGCAGAAGTCAAAATGCAGAAAAGAGAACAAAAGGATTGATTTATAATAGCATAGCTATAGGAGGTGCTTTTGTTTAATTTAAAAGAATAATTCAATGAGTTAAGTGCCTTTTGTGCAATGACCTCTAAAAGTAGTTGGACACTTAAGGTTTAAGTTTGCAGAGTTTTAAGCTTTCGTCATTAGAATGTCAGTATATGTAAGTGAACGATGTGTACTCTTTCTCTGTTACCTGCACTCAGACATCCTGTTTATTTGTCATCGGCGGGCTTTTGACAGCTCTAGGGCTTTTGTTAAAACTACAAATCAAGCTTTCGCATATTTGTATTCATGGACAGTCGGATCAACCGAGGTGTGGGGCCAATTAACTTTGGGAGTCAAAAGTGAGTTATGGGGATTTACTTTTTTTTTTTTTTTTTTTTTTTTTTATTAACTATTACCAAAAATATTTTGAAAAAAAAAAATCTTTACCTTGATCTGAAGACCCCTGAACATCTTTGGATTG